CCATTGCAGCCACCGCAGGTGGTTGGGGTAGCACACTCTGTGCCCGGGACAGCCCTGTGACCTTGATACTTCTCTGCCATCTGACAGACCTTCAAGATTTCTTCCGGGCTGGTTGGGGCAGCACCCAGCTTCTCAGAGCCAAGCTCAGGATCACTGCGCTCACTGGGGTACGCGCAATATCCACTGGCTGAATCTGTCATCGGCCAAGTCTTTTCGGTCTCATTGTCCTTCTCCAAGGGATAGACCTCTTTTGTGGCCTCTGTCTCATTGGTAACTTGAGCGAGAGACTGCATTGTTCCATTGCACCACACGCCGTGGCACAGTGGGCACGCTGCTGGAGTAGCGCACTCTGTTCCCGGTTCCGAACTATGACCCGGATATTTCTTGGCCATCTCACATATCTGCCGTACTTCGTCAGGGCTGGCCCCCAACCTGGGTTGTTGTTTTGTAATGAACTTTACCAAAACTACCGTAATATGGATGCATAGCAACCATTAAGGCTTGCTTGTCTTGGTAGCTTCACTTAAAGGATTATAGAACCCCTATCCCCTAAACCCTATATAATCCCTCATATACCCCCTATAGAACCCAGGATTATAGAACCCCTATCCCCCCAAACCCTGTATAACCCCTTATAAACCCCCCCCTACACAACCCCTTATACACAACATTTCCTTAACAGCAAGCCAGCAACTTGCCACCCAGGGAGGGGTCGCTTCTCTCACTGCGGAATGCGCAGAAGCCATTCGTGGCTGCTGTCATCGGCCACTCCTGCTGAACGACCGTGTCTTCTGAGAGCGGGATGTCCCTGACGCTTCCTTACTTCTGTGAATTTAGGGTTTAGGATGGTTTAGGGTTTAGGCATGACCTTAGTATACTATAATAGCATCACTCCCATGGTATGAGGTACTTGGGGCCATGCAGGGTTCTTAGTATCCATGTTGGTCGTGCGTTTGGCATGCAGTTATGAGGTTTATGAAGTCAATGCCTGACTAAAGGTATGATAGTGGATGTGTCGGCCTTTGCTGGAGGGTACGGCAGAGACAACTTTAAAGCAATACGCCTAGCAGCTGTTGTTCGATAATCGTTGCCCGTGTGAAAACATCAAGCCACCTGGCCAGACATAGTGTGCCTGACCAGGAAAATACCAGGAACTCCGCGAAACAACGAAGCTCGCCCGCCTCTAACTCATCACTACTCACAATCCCAAGGCCCGTACCCCCAATCTACTGTATCTTTGGCCCAGTACTTGTGCCTGTGTAGCAAGTCTGGCAACAGCTAAAATCACAATTGGCCCAACCCAACACTCATGAGTTCACCTACTACCCCCCTCCATACTACCCCAAGTTCCCCCTGAATCAACCAAAACGAGGCCTAAGTATACCTACTTAACTAAGGGGGGAACCTTAGGGGGGTAGTGGGGGAACCCATGATGAATTTGAACTCTGAACCCTAAGCCCTCAACCCACCATCCTAAACCCTAAACCCTAAGCTCTAAACTCCAAACCCACCACCCCAAACCCTAAAAAGGCCCAGGGAGCCGTCTTGATGGAGATGGATGTCTACCTCGCTGCGCTGTCCTCGAAGTTGTCGGAGCGAAAGATGGCATTCATCTGAGCCTGATATGATAATGTAGCCCCCCAATCAATAAACCCCCTCTCCTTAATGAGATTATGATAGGGATCCTACTGTTAAGGCCCTTAAAAGGAGGGGGGTTGTTTATCACCGGTCTATATGAATCCTGAGGGTTTTCAGTCATTGTAGTACAGTTCTTGGGCAAGCGTATGATTGTTGGTCACTTTGGCTTTCAGGGTAAGAGAAGACGTTCGGGGGCATTACTGGGTTTAGGGTCTGTAGGGTTTTACGACGCCTTTGCAATCCGTAGCAGCCACCCGTCTAAGCACTTGCAGAATTAGGATTTAAAGGGTTAGGACCCCTTTGCATGAATGGCGGGGACGCCCCCTACACTTCTTGCAGAATCAAGGTTTATTTTGGTTTAGGACCTCTTTGTAATCAATAAAAGCGGCCTTTCTAATTAGTCCTCTTACACAATCCATCTCTGCACATCAAAATGACGGTCCTAAGGACCACATTCTCAGAGACCCGTCAAAATCAGCCGGTGCATTACCAAACTGCGTTTCCATAACTATCTGGAATGAGTATGGCGCAAATTGAATTTACTGGAATCAGGTAAGACTGAGACTTCCTACCTACGTATCTTACGTGTAGAGCTGATTCTCCAAAGGTGGCGATACTGGAAGAGGATCGCACACTTCTCGCCATGTGAGCTATAGTCTAAACTCCTAGTATCCCCCTTAGTAACCCTTATAGTAGTCCCCTATATAATCCCCTATATAAAACCCCTTTAAGGAGTTTAGACTATAGCTCATGTAGTTTCTGGTTGTGAGAAGGGAAAGGAGAAACGGATTCCAATAGCAGCCCCCCACAGGACGATCCATAAAACGTAGAGTAGTTTCCGTGTTCTCTTCCATTGCTTTCCCCCCAAGACCTGCACCGTACATACCCGAAACCCTATATGAGCTATAGTACTCCTAGTATCTCCCTTACTAAGCCCTATAGTAATCCCCTACATAACTCCCTTTACACTGTAGCTCATGTTATACCCTAAACCCTTTTCAAAGATACCGCAGGCCTTCGTCACAGGCGTCTGCGCTGAGGAGGTCGAAGTCGTCAGCGAAAGTTGGGGCCAGACTCAAGAGCCTGCATAGTATAGGGTTTAGGGTTTAGGGTTTAAGGTTTAGGGTCTGGGCGCCCGTATGATTCGAATATGGTTTGCGTGGCATATTCCCCTAGGTATTCTACTCTAGCTATGGATAAGGGTTTGGGGTTATACCGGAATTAATGTTGGTAAAGTTCAGGCCTGTACATTAGCAATGTATAAGGTTGAGGGCACAGGGAGCCCTACACGCCTTAAATAAGCAACATTTCTTCATCATATTAGGGATCCTAATATAACTGGGTTGCTGTTAAGGAACTTAAATTAAGTTACCATAATGGGTATATATAGTACTTAATATGGTTCCCCAGTATAGTAACTTAANNCTTAACAGCAACCCAGATAACTTAGGCCATATTGCTGGATGAAGCCATTTTGGGCTCCCTGGAGGTTTAGGGACGCGGATTAAGCTCCTTACCGCCTGGGTTCAAAAGGGACGAGGGTTTAGGAGTTTAGGAGGTAGCGCTTGGGGCTGTTGTACGGGTGAGGGTTTATGGTTGGTTTTGAGTGGGGTTCTACGTCCTCTAAGTCAGGTTAGGCCTTTAGTTATCCTGGGTTGTAGCTCCACCTATAGCGAGGAACCGTCAAGTAGGGTTCAAAATCAGGGATTGGATTACGTGGGGAGCTTCTGTAAAAAGGGAGCCCGGGGACCGCAAAGTTCGGGAAATCAAGGGGCACCGTTTGGGTTTACAACTTGGCTTCGGGCACCCCCCCCCCCTCACAAAAAAAAAAAGCTAATAGCTGCTGGATTGCCGAGGAATAGGCTCAACAGGCTTTGTAAATTGGGATGCTTTAGGTCATACCGTGCTTGAGCAATACAGCAGGGATCCTCAGCTCCTCAGGTCTTGCAGGGTTCGGTCTGGTGTTGGGGGCGGGGTTCTGAAGTGTGGCGGCTTGTAATGATTGTAATGAAGAGTAGGGAGTTTTCAGGTGGGCTGCCCTCTCTTGAGCTAGCTCATGCAATCGCAATCGCAAAGAAATCTGGCATGCTCTACAGAACAAAGATCCCCGAACCCAGAACTTCAGCGCCGCGCTTCTTCAATGCTGGCAGCATGTGTAGGCTTGGACAAGCTTGCTGAGCTGGGGGCCATATTTTCGCAATCTGCATTTTGAACATGCAGGCGTACGGGACCTCAGAGAGACAGTGATCCCTTGAACACCCCTCCANNCCCGGTTTAGGGTTCAGGGTATACGGTAGTAACAGCACATATTCGCTGAGAGGGATTATGTTGTGCGCAGGTGTGAGAGCGGCCCTTAGATTTTGCTCGTTCTTCTCATGGCGCATTGCGATTTTGTGTGCAGCACGGACGTACATCCACATCTGGAATGCCCGCGGCTTGTGCCGAGATCAGAGTAGCTATCCACCAAAGTCGCCCGAAAGCCTGCTCAATGCTGTCGCCATCCACCATATCGCATATACAGTATTATCCATAAGGGTGATACAGCCCCAGATATCCCTATCTGTAAGGTATCCCGTGTACCCTTTTTTTGATAAGTTGCTTTCCCACCCCCTCATACCCTGGAGTCCCTTCCCCTACTAAACCCCAAACCCTAAA